AATAAGTCTACCACATATTATAAATCTACCACTACTACAAATAAGTCTACGATTGCGAACCATCAATAAGTCTACCAATCAGCTTGTGAGTTTTTGTTGCTGACTTTCGTGTGTGTGTGTTTTTTTTTTTTATGGAATCGTGTAGAAACGGAAAAACATAATTCGAATGTCTTAAGTTGAATTTAGATATATGTTAAGGTTTAAAGAGAAGAATTTGGTCATTTTTAGTAAACTAATGCTGAGACAAAATCTCTTTGTTTTTGTTATCAAGGACAATGTGAAGTCAAAACATCCACATAGTGTTTTATCATCTTGGGTTAACTAGAGTCGATAAGTGTTCACTCGTTTTACTGCAAATCATTCTCATTTCATCAGATATGGAGTAGAAAATTGATAGAAAATGCCATTCTCGATCAACTTAAGAATCGGTAGACCAAGAGTGATAATTGTTTTTAGTGTAAAAGGTATACTTTTGTGCCACAGAATTTGGTTTGTCATAATTTACATGATATCCGATCCGTAAACTCAACAACTACAAATCAAGAGATAATAATGCCATTAAGACTCTTTGGTTTCTCATCTCCTCAAAGAAATATGAAAGAAGGGCCTCTCTGTTACTAATGCTAATCTACCCAAATGCTTGATCCTTGGCTGAAAATTCTGCTGCGCTGTGATCAAAACTAATATCTAAAACATATGTTCTTATTGCGGGGAAATATTCAATTTCAATTGTTTTTTGTCTTCTCCTTTTCAAGTTTTTCTGTGTTTTTTTGGTGTCGAAAAAAGATTGTTTCTTTTGCAGTTTGGCAACTTCCAATGTCTTTTTTTTTGGGTCAAAAGCATATTCCAATGTCATTTTGCATTTTATCTCCATTCTTTGGATGGTACAACATCATGAAGACAAAGCCACTCCAAACATAGGAACTTATAAGAACCATTGGATATGGGTCTCATAACAAAGTATGGAGCGACCCATGGGTTCCAAATGTCTTGGGCTTTCTGGTGAAAGGCTTAAGGAGAGCCTGTGATAGATTAAGTGCCCCCAGAGCCAAGTATTAGCAGTAGCTAAGTAGAACCTAAGGGATAATATGTGACAAAACACTATTGGCTTGAAAGGGTGTCGTAGAAGCATCAATACACAAAGTTGGACAGACTTATTTGAGCTACGTGCCTAGGACATGCTAGAAGAGATATGACTTTCTTCAGTAATAATTGAGACAAATTGTGTAAGTTTGATAAAACTGACCAAGAATTACTAAATTTTCTAGACTTTTAATATGTACGAGATATTTATGTCATTGAAAGATTATTTTGAGGTTTTTAGGTTTATTCATATCTGGTAGAGTGAAATTGTATGCGCCGACTTCCTTGCAAAAAAGGACATCCTTATCTCTTTTCCATATAAGTCAAACACGTATAACTTGTCTCTCGAGGCAATCACTATGGGGTTGATTGGTTTCTCTGCTACCATCCGCAAGGCTGCATTTGCGGGTGGTAGCGGTTGTTGGCACTTAACAATAATTATGAAAAATGCTTTATAGCGTTCTGTATCGCTCCAAATCTCTCAAAATCAAAAACTGCTTCCCTCGAGCGTTTGCGGTTGCCGGTAGTTGCGATTACGTAATTTAAAAAAATAAAAATTGATTTTTTATTTTTAAGGAAGAGAAAATTTAATCAAAATAAATATAATAAGTTAAAATTGAGATTTGGATATTATAATTACGAACTAACTTAACAATTTGAATTTTTCTAATTAATATTCAATAACCTATCATAATTTATATTCAAACCGTAGTTTTTTCGACAATTGTTTTTAATCACTAATTAATAAATCTAACAAACTAAAATTTTTCAAATCTAACACTGACCTATCCAAAATAAAAAAATTCTCCATTAAAATCATAACTTTCATCT